ATTATACAGTAGATTGAGCAAGACTAACCTCCCCAAATATTGGGCTGAACTCAGATCCACCTAAAGGGTATGTGGCACCCATTGTCTTGGTCATGGCAAGTAAAAATTTGACGAGTCTCATTATCAATACAGCCATTAGAATTACATTCAAACACACTTGAAACAGGGAATCAAGTAGTTTTAAGGCATACTTAAGATGAACAGTTTCAGGAAATGAAACCATGAAAACAAAATTTTAACACAAATAGTTTATGAGTATGAACTATTCATGTTATCAAAACAGTTGCCAGACTTTTGAAAAGGTATTAATTTTAAAGCAAAACACTATATCTGTCCATCTACCATTTTATGTTTTGACAGCTTTTTATTTGGATAATAAAAATTCTTAAAATAGTTTGCCCTCCCCATCAACATAAATATAAAGAGATATTTTTATATGTAAAGATAAGACAAAGTATTCTATTAACTAATCCATCACTGATCCTACTATAATTCCTTAGATTTCTTTTGATGTATGTGGATTTATATTATAAGACTGATATTCACAACAAGAAATCCTTAAAGCATAATAAAAACACCTTAATTCACCTGAAATGCTTAGGAGGAGACAGTGACGTGTCTTTAAAGAGAAAGGATTTGACTACAAAAATCAAAACACATGATCAAATCTGTTGAGCTTTGCGAACATTCATAGAATTAAAAAAAGAGCTAGAAATGTTCTGTAAGATTCCATAGTTACCTACAATCAATATAAACTACTTTTCAAGACACATACTACATATATATGTCTATTGATTTCCTTCAAGGTCAAACAATATTGCAACTTAATTGATGATTTAATATCTGACAACAGAAAGCTTTTCTGTAATATCTGATAGCATGCATCAAATTTTCTTCAGACACTTGTTTTGAATTTCAGATTGTATTTCCTACAATTTTTTTGTACACCAAGTTTTGATCTACAAATTAAAACAGGCCAAGTGGATTTTGTTCAATGGTGGGAGTTTGCACTGAGTGGGCAAAACATCTAGAGACTGCTGACCCTTAAACTGTACATGCCATTTTTTTTCTTTTATCATAAGAATTGAATAAATCAATATTTTGAATTCAATATTTGTAGATAAATCTATGGTCAAATTGAAGTTGGAAGAAGTAGGCTGTCCACTGTGGACAGCTGGAAATGACAGAATACACATGACCTGAAGTGGATCATTATTGAGTGTAGTTAGAAAATTCTCTGACCTTTCCTTAAAAATTCTAACAATCCACCAGAAATCTGTGAAAGATGATCCATCTGCACCAGACATGATTATTTTACTGTTTACATCTACCCAGACATGAATTATTTTACTGTTTACTTCTATCCAAAAAATGTTATGGTTTTGGAAGATAAAACAAACACTTTTTAAACACAGGACTATTTTTTCTAGACAGGGCTTTAATATCAACATGTACATGGATTAGCAAGTTACAATTTACAGGGTATGAAAATTTTCAGTAAATTCTGAATAAACTTTTTGGACTCTGTAGTAAGATCTGCTAACTTGAAGTTTTTCCAAGGATTTTCTAAGGCCCCATATCCATTCACTAAGTGTACACAAATAAAAAATAGAGAAATTCAAGCAATTATTACTACAGAAGATTTGCATGGATTCTTCACATCAATCTGAAGGATGTATCTGTTACCTGACTGAACCAAGTCTGTCAACAAAAGCAACAAGTTTTTGCATCATCAGAAATCTTAATGAGATCTCCTGTAATCTGGTGTAAGTCAGCATAATTCAAGAATACATTTAAGATTTGAAACCTTCAGGGGATAACAGGCTGTCAGCTGAGGTACAATGTATGAACATTTCAATTCTTCAAGAAAAACAGCAGAATCTTTTTTAACAAAACAACATAATCTGCCATAATAAAACTTGATTTTACTTTAGCTTTTGGAAACATTTCCATTTCAATCTGGGGGGTCAATTAACAATGCTTATTTGTTGTCGTTGGTTGCTGTCTGTTATATCAGTTATTTTGGTTTATTATTTTGTCCTGATCAATAAGGCATGTTTTTTTGGTTTAATTTTTTTTTAATTTTGCCATGTTAAGGCCTTTGTAGCTGACTATGGAGAATGGGTTTTGCTCATTGTAGTTGACCTTACTGTGACCTATAATTGCTTTAATCCATGTCATTCAGACTCAATCATACCACATCTCCTTATTTTAAATAATTTGCTCACTTTCTCTCAACAAATTAACACAACATTAAGAATAACACAATCCTATAAACAAAGAACTTCAATTAAGTCTCCGATTGGATATTAAAAGCTTATAAACATGGTCAAACTTAAAGCCCATGGGTCCATGACAATATGAGTCATAAAACAAAAGAGTGATTTGTGGTAATAAGTCATTTTTATTTTGCACTTGCTTTTTTTTTCATGCTATAGCAACAAAACAGTTTAAATTTTTCAGCTTTCTTGACTTCAGACCAGGAGTGTGCTTGAGGAAAATTATTTCAGTATACATTTCTTATGGGACTTTAAAATATGTTATGCATTATAGGAATCAATGAATATAAATATCCTGAAAACATTAAAACATTCCTATCATTTATTTCACCAGGAGATGAATTATATTTATGGATAAAGAGGTATTTTGTTACGTAATAGCTATAGACACATTGGCATTTTCTCACTTGCTTTGGAAATTAATCAAATATGATTAATATCTTGCTATAAAATCTGTGAATAAATCTTGTTAAGCCTTCATTAAAGCCAACAAACCTTTCAAGAAAGAACACTTTTGTCTTTTGATTATGAAATGTGAATAGTTGTAATGAACTGAACATTTGATAAAAAAATTCACCTCATCACGATGAGATAATCACTTATTTATATTTGCTTGTAACATTTTCAAATATATTGTTTCCTACATTGAAACAACTGACATATTTTACAATAAAAGATGTTGTCCTAGAAACATTGGAGTTGGGGCAACGGAAATAGATAATAGTGGGGCTTGTATTTTCAATAAGAAATTATTTATAGTTAATATAACATTTATGAAAATTTTAAATTTTGGTTGATCAAAGGTTAATAAAAAGAGACTCCCAACCGCTTACACATTTTTCATTGGAACAACCCTGTGCTTTTGTCAGTCGACTGTTCAGATGAATACATATTGAAGCAAGATAGAGTAGGTGTAATAAGGTAAACAAGCATTCTGAGAGCATTGCATGGCAATACAGAGTGCCCTACCAGTTAAAAATTCATTGTATTGGAACAAAATGCTAACTTGATCTATAACTTGTCATGGTGTAAACTATATAACAAATATCAAGTCAATATCTTCAAGCATGACGAAAAAAAGTGTTGAAAACTGATTATTTAAGTGAATTTTCTAAGCCCAAGGACCATAACTCTGCACAAAATCATTAGACAGGAACAAAATTCAACCTTGATCTGTAACTTGTCATGATAAAACAATACACCAAATACCAAATCAACATCTTCAAGCACGAAGAAAAAAAGTGTGGAAAACTGATTTGCCAGACTGACGAATGGATAGACAGACTGACAGACGGATGGAATGCAAACCTAAAGTCCCCTTCGACTTTGTCGGTAGGGGACTAATAAGGAATGAAAGCAAAACCAGCAAGATTTCCTAGTTGACATATAGCATCTTACTATTAAATGATTGCAAACTGTCCTTACTCCAATCTGCTTCCCCTGTCTTCACTAAATGGATCAATGTTTCATTGACAGTCATTCTAACTTCTGCTGCAACTACCAACCAAAAGACTACATAACTATTTGCACTTTCTGAAGAGGCATATTTTAATCTTCTTTTTCGTTTACACTTATCAGCTACTTCAAAGGAACCTAACATAAACATCAAATAAAACATGCAGAAGACATATTCAATCTTTCAATAAATTTGCCTTGTAACCAAATGCATCAAGGGAAGAAAGCTCCTTGCAATATTTAGACATCTTGATTACACCAAGGGCACCTATGGCAATAATTTTTGCAACAATGACGCAAGTAGACCACCTGGTTTATAATTGTAGCCATGTGTTTCACAAAAAATAACAATCAATTGTTCAATATTATCTAATCATTATCAGGACATAAAAGAAAATATTTCTCTTTTTGTGGGTGCTTTCACTGTTCAAAATATAATATAGCTATTTATTAATCTCTTAGAATTAATTTCAAACATGATTTATTGGTAAAATTAAAGCCAGTTTTGATTGCATTAATTTAGGTAAAAAATCAATCAAATACCTGATTAAATCATGGTATTTTTCAATTAATCAAGGTGATAAATTAATCCTCATCATTTAATTTAGGTAAAAATAAATCCTATCCTTTTATTTTCAACTGACACAAAAGTAATAAGTTCTTACTTTAAAATGTTATCAATATGGTAGTGCTTACTCAAGTCTTACCAGACTACAAGAGTAGTTACATTAGGGACCCTTTATCAAGCAAGCAATAACTACTTGACAAATAATGCTCTGACTGACAATAGAGAATAAATATTCTACAAACATATTAACCATTTTATAATCTCTAAGTTAAATGCTACAGCAATAAGTTGTGCACTTTATTGCAAAGTCCATTTAGTGCTAGGATTTTGCTAGCTTTTAACATATGCAAAACTCTCCTGGAGGTTTTATGTAGGATACTTATAATCTAGTTGTGTAATTAAATAGTCAATCTTTCTACAGTTTTTAAATATTGGTCCTTAACATCATTTCACACAACTTTCATGTTCGCAAAATTAAAACAAAACCTATCCAATGTTTTGGGGGATCTCTTTCAAACGATTTCTATTGTCAACTACAAGTTCTGGTACAATACATGTGGTATTTCAAACTATGCTTGGACAAGACAAGTAAATATACAGAAGTCGGTCACCAGATTTACAACGATCTCTTTAAAAAAAAACACCTGTAACAATGCTCAATTCTAAAAATTCATTTCATGTTGCATTATACTACCTACCGATTTCCGTATTGAGTCCGGTACCAATTACAATTCCTCTGCATTTTCCTGCTGCGATATTTGTTCCCTGTAATGATTAAAACATAGAAATACAAATAAGGTGTCATTCAAATGTCTAGACAAATCTATATTTCATTTAAATAAAATTCAGGAATATTTGACTAATTGAAGTAAAGGCTAACATTAAAGCATAACACTCCATCAATACAGCAGATTTTTTTACAGAAATATAATCAAATCATGCCTTGAATGAATTTGTCTATTGAGTTAAATGATTTATTGTGATGTTGATTTCCATAAATATTTGCAACTGAAAATAACTTTTTTCTTTTTCCAGTTGAATTTTTATGAGACTGTATTTTCACATGGCCAATCATTTATCCTGTCTTGTGTCTTATAAATTTTTTTTTTATCTGTCCATGCATAGTATGATATGTACTGATTATCAGGTTGTCTGCATATTGATATTGTAAAATATCAGCTGTGAGTCACAATATGAAGCTTTTTGTCGAGAGAGTGCAGCCAAAGAATTCAAAAAGACTTCATATTGTGTTGAGTTTTATCGGGTTGTATTTGCGTATTTTTCATGATATAAGCAAGTGTTTTCTTTGTTTCACCAGCACACCGTAAGATGACTTGATTAGTTCAGGTCAAACTTATCAACATCAGTGACATCAGTAATATGTCCGGGTCAAAGTTATTGAGGCCGGGTCAAAAGGCCATGATATGCAATTTTATTAAGAGCTGAGCAGAGTGATACAGATAGTTGGACGACCGATAAATATTACATAGTACACACTTATCTATACTTTTAAGTAGACCTATTTGAACAAGTTAACTTACAGAAAACAGAATATTCTTCTTGTCTTGATTGACGGCTCTTGGATCTGGTATAGGATCTGTGTGCTTGATTACACTTACACTTTCTCCTGAAAAGACAACAATGAATCAGAAATTTTTAATAACAAGAGGCTCTAAAGAGCATGTGTCAATCTCCTAGGTCTATGTGCATCTTCAACAATGGACACTCTGCAACATTTTAAACTAAATAATTCATGAAAAAAATTCTCTTTTTTGTTGATCTTGTACAGCTGATAATTTTTCTGTTTACATCATTTAAGGATAACTTCTATAAGAAGACAACTTACAATTTCATCTATGCTAACCTATTTGCAGATCTTGTCTTGCTCATCATTTTTGCTTTTTAAAGTTTCTATCTATTATAGTTTTCAAGATAATAGACAAAAACGCATAAAATGGTACAAGTTGTCATTTAAGGACACTGACTCCTATGAAGAGTTCACCAATGATTTTTAGCAATATTGACAAATTTGTAGATCATTTTTTATGTTGATAAGTGTCTTTCTTTAAAAGTTTGAAAATAAAACCCCAAATTGCAAAAAATTGGTAAAAATCATCATTTAATCATCATAACTAAAAAAAAGAGTTGACAGACGATTTTGGCTTTTTTTTATTTATCTGTAGATCGTGTCTTGCTGATTAATTTTGCTATTTCAAGTGTCTTTCTATCTATAGTAGTGGTCAAGATAATAAGTGTCTTTCTATCTATAGTAGTGGTCAAGATAATAAGTGTCTTTCTATCTATAGTAGTGGTCAAGATAATAAGTGTCTTTCTATCTATAGTAGTGGTCAAGATAATAAGTGTCTTTCTATCTATAGTAGTGGTCAAGATAATAACCAACAACATAAAAATCGTCATTAAAGAGCAATAAACATTCTGATCATTTCTGCCCCATCAGATTTTCTCTCAAAACCTGCATTTTACCACCATGCTCTACTTTTAGTCATGTAGGCCATGTTGATTGACAGGCAGAGTCATCAGAAACATTTTTAAACTAGATATCCCAATGATTATTGTGGCCAAGTTTAATTAAATTTGACCTAACAGTTATGAGGAGAAGATTTTTGTAAAAGTTTACAGACAACCATGACTGACGACAGACTCCACATATGAGAAAAGCTTACTTGGCCTTTTATTTCACAATCCATTCTCAATTTATAAGTAACAAAAAATAGCATCATTAAAATATTTACATGATATGTTGGCATAAAAAACAAGATTTATTAGACTTTGAAACATATAATTGAACACTTGTCTAAAATACATACAACAAAAAATAAGTTTGATAAGATATTTTGAGCTTAGATAGTAAGATTTTAATCCTCTTGCTGTTGGAAAATATCAAAATCACTTTAGAACCTCTTGAAAGAAAGTTTATTGCAATGATCTGACAACAATTTGACAAGTCTGTAATGATACAATATATTCCTGAAAACTTCAATGATTATACAGAAAGTAGTCCTGAACATAGAGCTGTGTGAAAAAAAAAGCATCTTAAAATGAATATATATACAAGTGTATAACTTTAACTCCATCAAAAGTATTAAATCTATATTGTGGATATAATGCCTGGACATCCTAGATGAAAAATTGTTTACAGATTATTGTTTTAAATGTATTGAACAGAATGGCTATTTCTAGGTCAGAAATCAGTTCACATACAACTTTTCATTAAAAAGAATAGGATATTGTGAAAAATAAATTTCATTTGTAAAGGTAAACTCTAAGACTCTAGAACGGTACAAGTGATGCCACCCAAATTCAAACTTGATCTGTGTTTTGTGTCAATAAGTTTCACATTTGTTTAAGGTAAACTAAAGTTAGAGAACAGAAACCAATTTTGGGACATACGGATGGACAAGGGAAACACTTAATGCCCCCTGTTGACAGTGGGGGCATAAAAATAAATAAGATGTGCAGTTTCAGAAAAGAAGCCTACTTTCTATTCTTATTTTGTTATACACTTTTAGTGCTGTGTGAAATAACTTTTGTACAAAGCTTTATTATATCTATGTATAGGAGTATCATAATCATCAGTAGCTGCTATGTTCTGAAAAATATTGTTTTCTTTTTTAGAACTGATTTCTCCTCAGTAACAATAATCATCCAAGCCATTACCATTAGGAGATTATATTCTACAGTAAGAAGTCTTACAAATGTCAGTGTAAAATGGACTTCTCAATCTTTTTATGAGGAGTCTTACAAATGTCAGCGTAAAATGGACTTCTTAATCTTTTTATGAGGAGTCTTACAAATGTCAGCGTAAAATGGACTTCTTAATCTTTTTATGAGGAGTCTTACAAATGTCAGCGTAAAATGGACTTCTTAATCTTTTTATGAGGAGTCTTACAAATGTCAGTGTAAAATGGACTTCTTAATCTTTTTATGAGGAGTCTTACAAATGTCAGTGTAAAATGGACTTCTTAATCTTTTTATGAGAAGTCTTACAAATGTCAGTGTAAAATGGACTTCTTAATCTTTTTATGAGGAGTCTTACAAATGTCAGTGTAAAATGGACTTCTCAATCTTTTTATGAGGAGTCTTACAAATGTCAGTGTAAAATGGACTTCTCAATCTTTTTATGAGGAGTCTTACAAATGTTAGTGTAAAATGGACTTCTCAATCTTTTTATGAGAAGTCTTACAAATGTCAGTGTAAAATGGACTTCTTAATCTTTTTATGAGGAGTCTTACAAATGTCAGTGTAAAATGGACTTCTCAATCTTTTTATGAGGAGTCTTAAAAATGTTAGTGTAAAATGGACTTCTCAATCTTTTTATGATGAGTCTTACAAATGTTAGTGTAAAATGGACTTCTCAATCTTTTTATGAGAAGTCTTACAAATGTCAGCGTAAAATGGACTTCTTAATCTTTTTAAGAGGAGTCTTACAAATGTCAGCGTAAAATGGACTTCTTAATCTTTTTATGAGGAGTCTTACAAATGTCAGTGTAAAATGGACTTCTCAATCTTTTTATGAGGAGTCTTACAAATGTCAGTGTAAAATGGACTTCTCAATCTTTTTATGAGAAGTCTTACAAATGTCAGTGTAAAATGGACTTCTTAATCTTTTTATGATGAGTCTTACAAATGTCAATGAAAAAGGAATTCTTAATCTTTTTATGAGAAGTCTTACAAATGTCAGTGTAAAATGGACTTCTTAATCTTTATATGAGAAGTCTTACAAATGTCAGTGTAAAATGGACTTCTTAATCTTTTTATGAGGAGTCTTACCTGTGAGAATGGACTGATCTATTCTAAGAGTAGTGGAATGAATTGTGCTAATTCTGATATCTGCAGGTACTTTATCTCCCACTGAAAAAAACAAGATAACTTTGAATCAAACATGAAGCTAAATAGAAATATAAAATGTTACTTAAATTTTATCAATTCAATCTTTTCTGTTAATCAGTCATAATCAAACTATCTGCTCTAGAAAGATTCTCTGAACAAATTTGAGACATTTGAAAATAGCCATTTCTTTTTTTACCATTATACAAATAAAACTTTCCTGCACAAATTGTAGAATCATAGAACTCATCTACAAGGACTCAGCTCCATATAATATATATGTTAGTATGTTTTAGGGTATTTGTTTAACCTTATGAAATATTGAAAGAGTTATTTTGAGGATCTGAAGTGCAAGTATATACTGGCATAGATGAGGTCACATGTATTGTGATATGTTTTTATACATTGCATTGTAAAATACATTTTCTTATGTTCCCTTTTCATACATTGATCCTATTTCTTTCACTAGGAGATGGGGACATCTTAATGTTCATCGATTTAGATTAAAATGATATCCATTCAGAACAAGCATTCTGAGAGTATTGCATGGCAATACATAGTCCCTTACCAGTTAAAAATTCATTGTACTGGAACAATATGCTAACTTGGTCTATACCTTGTCATGGTGTAAACTATATAACAAATATCAAGTCAATATCTGCAAGCATGACGAAAAAAAAGTGCGTAAAACTGATTATTTGAGTGAATTTTCTAAGTCCAAGGACCATAACTCTGCACAAAATCATCAGACCAGAACAAAATTAGAACTTGATCTGTAACTTGTCATGATAAAACAATACACCAAATATAAAATCAATATCTTCAAGCACGAAGACAAAAAGTGTGGAAAACTGATTTGCTGGACTGACGGATGGACAGACAGACGAACAGAGTGCAAATCTAAAGTCCCCTTCGACTTTGTCGGTAGGGGACTAATAATTTCTAAAAACATACTCTTAATGAAACCAAAATATTCAAAGTATGTTTTTGGCTGTTATATAACTAATTATAGAACTGTTAAGAATTTGACAACAAAACATTGTGTTCTTCTTTTTCTGTCCATTATTCTTGATATACAGAATGAATATGTAGAACTGTGAGCTATTGCTCAATAATGAGACCCCACATTAAATATTCGTTATAATAGGAAGTTGAAGAAAAATTATTCTGCAATCACATTACACAGTATAGCATGTTGACATGAAGCCAAATAACAAAATTCAGGAAGGTCTTATTTGTAGTTCTCTAGAAAAAATGTGTCGAAAAATTTTATAAATGGCCTGTATGTGTTAGAATAATATATAAGTATTTGCTATCCTCTACTCTAATCACCTACCAGAGACTTCTACAATATCTCCAGGGACTAAGTTACTAGCTCGTATTCTCTGGATTCCTCTATGACTTTTTCTAACTACTTTAGCTATTTCTGGTTCATATTCTTTTAATGCTTCAATGGCACTTTCTGCATTTTTTTCCTGAAAAAAGACAAAGAAACTGTATATTTTCTTTCAGTATTATCTAATGGTACTCTTGGCTACTTTTCTATTATCTTTATTTAAATATCAAACAACATAATGTTGTAAGCAGAAATTTAAGACACTCCTGACGTCATTTGTTAATTTGCTCTTCAAAGAAGAAACTTTTCTCTCCGTCATCTTACAAACATAATATTGTAGATGTTGATCTCTGTCAATAAAATGTGAATAACTTGTAGACAAAAATAAACATGATGATAGATTACATTGCACTCACAATTGATGCAGCATGCACATGTAAAATCACTAACTATTGTAGATGATCATGGAAATAAATTTACCCAGTAACCTTATACATGTAACACATATTTCTCAGCCTATATTTATGTAATTATCATGTGGTTGCTATGGAATAAGATATTCCTGTCTGGACCAAACAACTGTCTGAGACAGGCATACAAACCCTTAGTCCTGTTCAATATTTTTTTTCTTTAAAGTTTTGTTTGATACACCTGGACATTGAAAACATTATATAACATTTAGAAGTGTCCAATACGGTGGATTCATTAATATTTTCGTGGGATACCAATTTTCATGGATTTCGTGGGTATAGTGACCACAAATTTGAATGTTCAACATAAAACAAATTTTCTATAGCTTTGTATGCAGACTTTGGCAAAACCCCAAAATCAAGTTCCACCAAAAACAATTGTTCCTCAATCCACAAAAATTGGTTCCCACAAAAATAAATGAATCCAGAGTACATTTACTGGAAAATCTCAAGACACCTCTAGATACAACTTTTTCTGGCTCTTATATATAATTACAAGACAAGCTTTGTCAGAGAAGTGATTCTTACTTCCTGGACCAGATTTTTGCAAATGTACAAGTGCTAGTCCCCAATACTGTATTAATGAGATATAACAAAGTACATGTACCATTTCATACAATTGCAATGCACATCTCATGAATATTTATATACCTATTTCATATATGATTACACACAGATTAATACATGGCCTTTTCCATATCGGCCCAGGTATCACCCCCAGACCCCCATATCAGCACAAGATGTTAGTTGAGGGCTGATACGGGTAAAGGGATTGTACCCAGGCCATTATGGAAAAGGACATGTATTAATCTTTTTATCATATACTTCCGATGCCAATGCTATTGGTTATCAGCCTGGGTGTGAATTTATGGCTAGTTTACTTCTGCTTGTTACACATATGCAAAATCTGTCATATTAATGCTAATTAGTATATGATAAATAAAAATAACATTAAACAGTATTGCATTGAATGAGGCAATAACTGTGTAATGCCATAAGATAACTGATTCATGTAACATGTACAAATAAATGATAATCAGATTGATTACTGTGTTTGATTGCATCTAGAAATTCAGTAATCCCTTATGAATATACATGTACATGTATAATTTAGCAATGATTCCTCCACCCTATACCCATCAATCCATTGAAATCAGTTCTAGTTCAAATGATTTACACAGTATAAGAATCACACTTAAAAAACAATGGTGTAGTATATGGTTACTGTTTTAGAAATCCAAATTTTATAATATTTATATACATGAAGTAGTGATGCATCTAAAGCATCCTTATATTTTAGATATTTTTTTTGTTTCTGAGCAATCCGCATTGAAAAACACTTCCAACACCGCAAATTTGTTGTATTTCAACTTGATTTAAAATGTATTTTAACAACTTTATCTATTGGTCATTTAACTTGTTTACAAAATATACTCTGTATCAAACTGGATATGAAATATTTTGTATAAAACTGGATATTAAAAACATAATTTAAACACAAATTACAGGTTTTACATGAAAAAGACATCTGATAGGTAGAGATTTTAAAATACAGGTTGTGGATCACAAAGAAAAGAAAATGACTACTTTTGAAGTCTTTCATTAATACAGGTAAACTCTTAAATTTCCATTGTAAACTCTTAAACATCCATTGTAAACTCTTAAATTTAGCTTTGACAAAATGAATGCACTTGCAACCTTTTGTTGCTGTTCAATATTAGTGCAAATTTAAGTCATGTGAACAATATTAATTTTCACTTCATTTGGATAAGTTTCTGCCAAATAAGTTCTAACATCGATATATACGTTGTTAATAATGATACCCCTACTGATAATATACATTAGATCTTATTTCTTGGAACTGAAAATCAATGTCACCTACTTGTTTTGTAAAGATTGTTGTCACACCTGTATATAGATTTGAATGAAAGGTCAGAGTCTTACATTTTATAATAAACACTAATACCAGTTTTAACATATGCTTATCTGTACAAAACCGGTTTGAACATTTGTTTTTCTGTGCAAAAAATGTATTTTTAAACCAGCACAAAGGATGAAAATAAATATGCTAAGTGTAAGATAAGACAATTCACACAAACTGTGGAATAAGTGATATCTGGAATGAACAGAGAGGTTCAAAAACATTTATACATTGCATTTGTAAATATTGAAAGATCCCAGGAAAAGGGTGGCTTGATTATTCAGAGACTCATAAACAATGCTTTATCCAAAATTTGTGCTAGACCTAGTTGGTCTTTTCCTCTATCCAACAATGGCCTTGTTGCCACAAAGAGTTGTAATTCACTCACAATGGTATGAGCCTTATTGCTGACAATGACTGGTCAGAATTTAATAACACTTACCCAACACAATATTTTTCTATAGAATACTTTCAATCTTTATTGTTTATCCTTATAAAATTTGATGGAAATCTGTTGACATAGACCTGTGGCTTGAAAATAATTCATAAATAATTCACCAGTATAACTGGTTGGGCGGGAACCTAATCTATTTCATAGGTTTTACCATTTATATTTAGAAATCTATGCAAACAACTTTTTCAATTGAAAATTAGTTTTATCATGTATAATATGTGCTCATATGGTCAATAATACTCGAGATAGAAATTTTCATTCAGAACAAGACAATTTACAAAGTTATATTACAACTATAATTTATTTATATCAAGGACCTTGAAAACCTACAAACAAACAAGGACTATGTAGGATAGATAAGTAGAAAATTCAACAATTGCACCACCTACTAGAAACAATTAATTTATTGCATTATTTCAGTGTAGTACAAACTTCAGCTTGGTATAAAATTATCTGGATACTCAATCATATAAATCAATGTTTAAACCTAGTGGAAAAAAATCATTGACTTGCTAATGATCATTGAATATATTGCTTCAAGCTAGAATTCAATAAGATGCAAATATAAGAAACACTGAAATAGTCCTTTAAAAGACTCTATCTTTTCTTACCAAATGTGCAGCTCATAATGTCATGAATAGCCCAGTGAGGGAACATCATTAAACATCATGACATAAAACCATTTTAAGGCATCCTTTATGAACTTTAAAGCAAATATGTATAAAATCAATATCGAAAATAATCAGTACTGGTTTACAGAACAGAATAAAAAAACAACAACAGGTGTAAGTTTACTCTTACTTTCCTTATCAACATCATTCTGTCATTTTCTCCATTTTTATATTTACAAAAGATATAAATACCCAGATTAACTTGAGAATCAGGGACAAAAAGAAAAGATTAAGTGTCACAAAAATTATTGCTAACTCATGAGAAATTAAAGAAAGGAAGAAAAATGTGATAATTTTGTTTATTTTCTAGTTTTTACTACTTATAGTTGAGAGCATTTCTTTTGTTGTACTGTTACACCACTTTCCAAAGGTAAGGGGAGGGTTAGCGCCTTCAAACTAGTTTAACCCAGCCACAAGCCTGTAATTCAGTGGTTGTCATTTGCTGTGTATTCGTTTTTCGTTCATTATTTGGTACATAAATTTGGTCGTTAGTTTTCTCATTTGAATTGTTTTACATTTGTCATTTCGGGGCCTTTTAAAGCTGACTGTGCGGTATGGGTTGTGCTCATTGTTGAAGGCCGTAGTGACCTTTAGTTGTTAATTTCTGTGTCAAGTGGTCTCTTGTCAATCATACCACATCTTCTTATTTCTATATTTGTTTGTCTTCACAAACTTTCAGTAAGAACCACCTCAATCAAAAATACTAATTAAACTTGTAAAAAAAATATTCTCCCTTCACCTTATCAAAGGATATCAGATCTATAGTTTTTCTTGCAATGCAGTGTTCCCGCCTGCCCTAAATAGAAGGGCGGCCCGCCCTTGGTGCCCTTACCCCCACCCTTCTGCCCTCCAAAGTAAAAGAATGTACCCCTCTGCCTTTTCAAAAAAATAAAATTTCCAAATTTCATGCCTACCAGCGTTTCCAGTAAAATTGTTACCTGATTGTGTAACACTAATTAACTGACAATGGGATTAAGTTAAATACCTAGTGTTTTGGCAGTTTTATCACCTTTGTTAATGATTGTTTACTGCTAATTAGTGGATTTAAGATAATTGAACAAATACTAGATATTTAATACAGAATGAAATGTCCACATGTTATCCATTTGTAATGTTTATGTATAGCATGTACACCTGAAAAAAATTATTTCAGTAGGCATAACATAAAAAATAAAATCTTTAACACTTTTAATGGCATACATAGTTTTGACTTAATTGGTAAAAAATGTTTTGTTTCATAACCATGAGTATGAAATTTAAAGAGGAATCAAAGAAATTTGTACTTTGAACACAAACAAGATTCACTTCCTGTTTTTAGTACTTCTTGTATTTTATAATCCTCCTGACATAGGAGCACTCAACAAATTTATTTTTAACAATAATTTGTGAAAAAAGTAACTGTTTATACCTTCTGCAATATATTATTGCATCAATATAAAATATGATCATCTCCTGTCTCACCTGTTATATTTATAAAACTCCTTACTGAGGAGCACTTTGGTGTGCACTTAAAAATACTTTTTTGTAACAATTCTTTTTTTTTTAAACATCGTTGGTCAAATAGCTTAAGAATTATATAAATACGTTGTGAGATTTATAATATTTTAATAAGGGCTTTCTGAT